GTGTGGGAAGCACAGCTCCCCTCTTGCAGAGTCCCAGGATAAACTTGCGGTGACAGTTTCCCCTTGAAAGGAAAGGGATTTGGACCGTGATCTATACCAGTTTCCAGGAATGAATGGTAAAAGATGAACTGTTGGCTACATAATTAAGAGAGCTGTGAAGTTCTGGGTTTGGACAAACGTGAGTTTTGTGTGACAGAATGAAGTTAAACCCTAAACAGAGCATTGCTTGCTTAGTCCCTGAATTAACAGAGCCTTATTCAGAGAATTCCTTGGTAACAGAAACGTCAAGGGAGAAAAAGCAAGCAACCTGAGCTAGGATAATCCTCGACTGCCTGAGAGTGAAGGAAGGGAAGGCAGCTCCACGTTACCGAATTCTATTTTTGTCTGGGGCCTTGGCATCATGCAATGTTGTGCTCCAGCATGGCACCTTATCATTTTTGATAAGGACCTTTTTTTTAAGAACTTGCTGAAATGATAATATATCATTGTCTATTCACTGTTTGAATGTTGTGATATGTTTTCCTATTTGTTTGGTCTTAAAGAAAATAAGTAAGGTTTAATTCCCCCCCCAATAGATTCAGAAAAAGAAAATAAATGTGATATATTATTGAGTATAACTTTTATTATTATCAATTATCAGAAATCCTGTGTTGAGACAACTCAAGGGCATAATTTAACACTATAAAGTATATGCAAAAGTGAAGAACCTCAAAGTCAACATTCTTCTTAAAATAATAGGAAAAATAGATACAATTTTTATTTGTAAGCTATATACAGGGAACTTGCCAGGTGCTTTTCTTTTCTTTTTTTGACAGGCAGAGTGGACAGTGAGAGAGAGACAGAGAGAAAGGTTTTCCTTTTTTCCGTTGGTTTACCCCCAATGGCCGCTGCGGCCGGCGCACCACGCTGATCTGAAGCCAGGAGCCAGGTGCTTCTCCTGGTTCTAATGCGGGTGCAGGGCCCAAGGACTTGGGCCATCCTCCACTGCACTCCCGGGCCACAGCAGAGAGCTGGACTGGAAGAGGAGCAACAGGAACAGAATCCGGCGCCCCGACCGGGACTAGAACCCAGGGTGCCAGCACTGCAGGCAGAGGATTAGCCTATTGAGCCGTGGTGCCGGCCCGACCAGGTGCTTTTCATGAAGATATGTATTCAGTATTGAAAATCTCTGCAAAATATATTTAATTGCATTTTAATAATATTTCAAAATTATTTCATACTTCTAAGTAAGATCTTCAGTTTAAATGAGGTTAAGATTTCATGAGGTATTTTGAATGATAAAAATGTCTGAGGGAATATTTATTTTACTTCTGGACGATTTTGCAGTCTAAATGGTCTAAATTGTCCAAAACATATCTTTTAATATATTCCAATGATTAATTTTAGCACATTGCAAGATTAAGGAGCAACAGACAACTTAGGAAAAATCAAGAAAAGAGGCATTACTTTAAAGAGAAGGAAACACTTGGGCCATCAACATTTTGTCATGGCAGGCATCATGAGAAACATAAACAGCTTTATTTTTAAAAGTTCCTAAATTTGAAATCAGATTAAATATCACATCATATGGCCAGGTCTTTGGGTGCCTGCATCCATTTGGGAGACCCGGAAGAAGCTCCAGTTTCCTAGGTTCAAATCAGCTCAGCTCTGGCTATTGCTGCCACTGGGGAAGTGAACCAGCCATGGAAGTCCTCTCTCTCTCTCTCTCTCTCTCTCTCTCTCTCTCTCTCTCTCTTCCTCTGCCTCTCTGTGACTCTGCCTTTCAAATAAATAAATAAATACATATTTTCAACAAATCATACCATAGAATTATTGAAGGATACCAGAGCACGAATTTATAAATGTAAGACCTGAATGTTTATATATTAAGTAACACTGTCTTTCTATGCATTTTTACAAAACTCAGCAGTACAGAATTAAGTCTACTTTTCAATATATTAGTTATCTGTAGCAAAAACAAAATTCTACAACATCTAATCTCTTTAAATATAAGAAAATCCTGTACTCAAAAATCTCTCAGCTTCCTGTTTCTTTCAGGAGGAGGTCCATAAACACCTGCCACACCACCTTCAACTTCCACTCCAGCAACTCTGTTCTTATTGCTCCAGAAACTTTGTAGTCACTATTTATTCAGCCTCAACTTCCTCCTTCAGATATTTCTGAACTAATTTCTAACACGGTCATCAAGTGCAAGCATTCTTTTCCCAGTGAGACCTTTCCTAATCATTATTTAAAATTGTAACCACAAATCCACTCTCCGTAGTTGGATACCTGATCCTGCTTCTGTGATCCATCAATGTCTATAGCAGCTAGCAGCTTCCATGGTGCATCTATTTCATGTGTTATGTCTAGCCCCACTTTGGCAGAATTGAGCACAGGGATTTTTTCACCCATTTTATTCCTGGTTATATGGACAAAGTTTTGGAGAGTGTGTGGCACAAATATGTAACACAGTACAATTTCCTTTACAGAAAACAACATGGATGTTCCTCAAAAACATAACAACTAAACTTTCATGTGATCCAGTCATCCCACTGTAGGTTTAAATTCAAATGTCAAGGAGGCATCTACTCTTGCATTTATTGCAGCATTATTCACAGTAGCCAACATATGGAATCAACCTAAATGTCTATCAGTGGATGAATGGATAAAGAAAGTCTGGAATATATTAAAAAGGAATAATATTTAGGCATTAAAAATAAATAAATTGGGGCCAGTGCTGTGACATAGCTGCTAAAGCCACAGCCTGTAGAGCCAGCATCCCATATGGGCGCAGGTTCGTGTACCGGCTGCTCTTCTTCTGATCCTACTTTCTGTTGTGGCCTGGGAAAGCAGTAGAAGATGGCCCAAGTCCTTGGGCCCCTGTAGCCACGTGGGAAACCCAGAAGAAACTCCTGGCTCCTGGCTTTAGATCGGCGCAACTCCGGCCATTGCAGCCAACTGGGGAGTAAACCAACAGAAGGAAGACCTCTCTCTCTCTCTCTCTCTCTCTCTCTTTCTCTCTCTCCTTCTCTCTGTGTAACTGTGACTTTCAAATAAATCTTTAAAAAAAGCATGAAATCTTGGCATGTGCAACAACATGACCAAACTTAAACATTAAATGAAATAAATCAGTCAAAGAATGACAAAGACTGCAAGTTGGTACTCCTATGTGGCAGGTAAAGCATAAAGCTGCCCCTGGAAGTGGAGGGTAGAATAGCAGTCACAGAGACTCAGGAGGATAGAAGAGAGACTGTCAAAGGATACATTGACGCAGTTTAATAAGAGAAACCAGTTCTGGTTCTCTATTGCACAGTAAGAAGATTGTAATTAATAATGAATTAAATATTTCAAACAGCTAGAAGAGAGGATTTTGAATGCTTTCACCACAATGATAAATGCTTAAGGTGATGGATATGCTAATTACCATAATTTTAACACAGCATAAAATGTACCTAAATTGCAAAATTTCATTGTAGCCCTCAAATATATTCATTTATTATGTGCCAATTAAAATAAAAATTTTCAAAATAAAATGTAGAAAATATATGGGAAAATAATGCAACAATGTACTTCACTGAAATGAAATCTTCATGGCTGTCATCAAACTGGGAAGAACTATTTTACTGGAATTACAAAATATAGGAATTTAAGTTCTATTTATGGTTTCAAATCTATTTCCTTGATTCCTATGATACATCTCATTAATAAAACAACTATAGAAAAGTGAGTATATTGTGAGTTTCATCAGTATTCAATCAGACCAACATCCATGCATTATCTCCCTGTGAAAGCTTATTTTTATCTATTATGTAGGTACTGTTTAAGGAAGTTGTTGTAACAATATTTGCTTAGATTATTCCAATTATCTTGTGTCTTAAATTGTGGAGATGAAATACAAGGATCAGGCATGATTTATACACCATGAATACATTTCCCATTAGCAAGTAATAGAATCACTTTTAAAAAAAAATATTTTATTTATTTATCTGAGACTTAGATTTACAGACAGAGAGAAGAGAAAGAGAGACAGAGAAAGGTCTTTCATCTGCTGGTTCACTCTCCAAATGGCCCCAAAGGCTAGAGCTGGGCTGATCCGGAGCAGGAGCCAGGAACTTCTGTCAGGTCTCCCATGTGGAGTCAGGGGCCCATGCACTTGGGCCATCTTCTACAGCTTTTCCAGGCCACAGCAGAGAACTGGATCAGAAGAAGAGCAGCCAGTACTAGAACTGGTACCCATCTGGGATGCTGGCACCACAGGTGGAAGCTTAGCTTACTACGCCACAGTGCCAACTCTACAATCATTTTTTAACTATGATTATTTTCTTATATCTTTATTCTAAGTTTAGTAGATGTGTCTCAATATATAGTAATACTAATGTACTATTGAGTTATTTCAGCAATGAATAATTTAAATCCAAGTTTCTAGAAACAATAGAAGTCAGAAAATTGCAGTTTTTAAATGTCATCAAGTATATTATATATTAAAATAATGAGAATTCCAGATTTTATAATTATTTGTAGAGTATATATAACAAAATCTCCATGACTCATAATATATTTAGAACATATTTAAGTCTCATACTATGAAAATTACTTTTTTTAAAGATTTTTTTTAAAAATTTCTTTGAGAGGTAGAGTTACAGACAGTGAGAGGGAGAGACAGAGAGAAAGGTCTTTCTTCCGTTGGTTTACTCCCCAGGTGGCCACAACGGCCAGAGCTATGCTGATCCAAAGCCAGAAGCCAGGTGTTTCTTCGCCCTCTCCCATGTGGGTGCAGGGGCCCAAGCACTTGGTCCATCTTCCACTGCTTTCCCAGGCTACAGCAGAGAGCTGGATTGCAAGAGGGGCAGCCAGGACCAGAACCAGCGCCCACATGGGATGCCAGCACCACAGGCAGAGAATTAACCTACTACACCATGGCACTGACCCTGAAAATTATTTTTAAAGCATCTTTTCTTCTCCATTTGTTATCATCCTGACTGTGAGATTACATCATTCTTTTCCCATTGTGTTTTTAGGTTGTATTCAGTTGGAGGTCGTGATGGAAGTTCCTGTTTGAGTTCAATGGAATATTATGATCCTCACACAAATAAATGGAACATGTGTGCTCCTATGTGTAAGAGGAGAGGGGGTGTTGGAGTGGCCACATGTGATGGCTTTCTTTATGCAGTAGGAGGTCATGATGCACCTGCTTCTAATCACTGTTCCAGGCTGTTAGACTACGTTGAAAGGTAAGACTCCCAAGGACATTGTTATCATGAAAAACAAAATGCAAATTTCTTTGATGCCTAATTTGAGAGATTGTAAAAACTGCATAATTTACGAAAGCCAAATTTAAATACTAAAGCTGCTTTATTAGTCTCTCTCCACCTTAATCCCCATGCAGGCCTCTCTGTCTCTCTTCCAGACAAATTCTCAATAACTTTCATTTTCTCATTATGTTTGCCTTCCATCCCTACTTCCATCCTTATTTTCCTAATAATTACTAAAAGTCCAAATTTTTTCACTAGATCCATCAGTGATCTTTAAATTTCTCAAAAATGTGCTTTTATAAGTTTTTTTAAAAGAAAATTCTATGGAAATTGTTGAGTATTGATGTTTAAGTCTTCTAAAGTATCACATACTTTATTTATTTGTGCTGTTCAACCTTACTAATTCCACTCCTTTAAACTCTCCAAGGTAAATTTTAAGCTGTTTCATGACATACTTTACTTTAGGTAACACAGATCTCCATGAGTATGGAGGAAACACAATTTATTTTTTAACTCTCCTTGAAAATGACCAATTGTACAGAGGTTGGAATGGAAAGACACCTTGGCTTCATCTGTACTCTAACATCAGAAACATGCTCTAGCATGTTGATGACTGAATTTTTCTTTAAGTGCTGTGCATCAGTTAGCACTGTTATATTGTTAAGTGAGGATTGGAAAATTCTTAGTAAGATTTACAATGATATTTCCTGTTACTTAGAGATATATGATGACTTAGGGGCAAACGATAAGAAAACAGATTAATTAATTTAAAAGTTGGAATAGGATTTTACAATAGCAGGTAATTTCAATATCCTCAGTGATTTAACTCTATTGTAATATTTTTTCTTACTTGTGCTAAATGATGTTATCACTGGTCCTCCGACTGACTCATAAAATAAAATAATAAGCCCTTCAGACTCCTTGTCAAAAGACAAAACCAGAGAATAACATCATGTACATATCTCATAATTTCTTTATCCAGTCTTCAGTTGACAGGCATTTGGGTTGATTACATGTCTTTACTATTGTGAATTGAAGTGCAATAAACTTAGAGGTACAGTTTGCATTTCCACCAACAGTGGGTTAGTGTCCCTTTTTTCCCCACATCCTTGCCAGCATCTGTTGTTGGTAGATTTCTGTATGTAAGCCAATCTAACTGGAGTGAGATGAAACCTCATTGTGGTTTTGATTTGCACTTCCCTGATTGCTAGTGATCCTGAACATTTTTTCATGTGTCAGTTGGCCATTTGGATTTCCTCATTTTAAAAATGACTATTGAGGTCCTTGGCCCATCTCTTAAGTGGGTTTTTTGTTTTGTTGTTGTGGAGTTTCTTGATCTCTTTGTAGATTCTGTTTATAAATCCTTTATCGGTTGCATAGTTTGCAACTATTTTTTCCCATTCTATTGGTTGCCTCTTCACTTTCCTAACTGTTTCCTTTGCAGTAAGAAACTTCTCAATTTGATGTAATCCCAAATGTTCATTTTGGCTTTGACTGCCTGTGTCACCAGGCTCTTTTCCAAGAAGTGTTTGCCTGTGCCTCTATCTTGCAGGGTTTCTCCAATGTTCTATAATAATTTGATGGTATCGGGTTGTAGATTTAGATCTTTAACTATGGAAGCCAGTTTGGAGATTCCTCAGAAATCTGAATATAACCCTACCATACAACTAAGCCATCCCACTCCTTGGAATTTACCCAAAGGAAATTAAATTGGCAAATAAAAGAGCTGTCTGCACCTCAATGTTTATTGCACCTCAAATCACAATAGATAAGACCTGGAATCAACCTAAATGCCCATCAACACTAGAATGGATAAAGAAATTATGGGATATGTACTCTATAGAATACTATACAGCAGTCAAAAACTGTGAGAAACAATGACTTGATCAGCCCTTGTCCTGACTGTCGAGGAACAACTTAATACTTTATCACTTTTAGTATTTTTTGTTCTACTTAATACTATTGGTTGAACTCCTTAATTAACACACAATTATTCTTAGGTGTTTAAATTTAACTGAAAAGTGATACCTATTAAATATGAGTGGGAATAAGAGAGGGAGGAGATGTACAGTTCGGTACATGCTCAATTGATCTTGGTCCAAATGGTAGAGTTAGAAAGTGATCATTTTTAGTTCATAATTGATAATAATGATAGGATTAAGAGTCAAAGAGATCACATAAACAAGACTAGTGTCTGCTAATAATAACTGACTGATAAAATTAAAAAGGAGGGGACGATCCAACATGGGAAGCAGGATACACAGCAGACTCATAGAATGGCAGATGTTCTAAATAGCACTCTGGCCTCAGAATTAGCCTTTAAGGCATTTGGATCTGGCTGAAGAGTGCATTAGAGTATTTCAGACAAGGAAAGCCAAGACACTCTGGCAAAAAAAAAAAAAAAAATGACCTAATTGAAAGATCTCTGCGAGTGAGATCCCAGTGGAAAGAATGGGTCATCAAAGAAGGAGGTACCTTTCTCTGAAGGGAGGAGAGAACTTCCACTTTGGCTATGAGCTTGTCTAAATAAGATCAGAGTTGGTGAACTCAAAAGACTTCCATAGCCTTGGCAACTCATGACAAGAGCCCAGGGTGATTACTGATGCCATAAACAAGAGTGTCACTTGTTAAATCAACAATAGGAATCGCTGTACACTTACGCCCCATGTAGGATCTCTGTTCTTAATATGTTGTATAATGTGAATTAATGGTATAACTAGTACTCAAACAGTACTTTATACTTTGTGTTTCTATGTGGGTGCAAACTGTTGAAATCTTTACTTAATATATATTAAATTGACCTTCTATATATAAAAATAATTGAAAATGAATCTTGATGTGAATGGGATGGGAGAGGGAGTGGGAGATGAGATGGTTGTGGGTGGGAGGGAGGTTATGGGGGGAAAAAGCCACTGTAATCCAAAAGCTGTACTTTGGCAGTTTATATTTATTAAATTATTTTAAATAAATGTTTAAAAAAACCATAGAGGTACAGATAGCTCTTTCCTATGCTGATTTCATTTCCCTTTGGTAGATTCCCAGGAGTGGGATGGCTGGATCATATGGTAGGTCTATATTCAGACCTGTGAGGTATCTCCACACTTTCTTCCATAGTGGCTTTGCCAGGTTACATTCCCACCAATAGTGTATTAGGGTATCTTTTCCCCCATATCCTTGCCAGCATCAGTTGTTTGTTAATTTCTGTATGAAAGTCATTCTAATGGCAGTGAGGTAAAACCTCATTGAGGTTTGGATCTGCATTTTCTGATGGCTAGAAATCCTGAGCATTTTTTCATGTGCCTGTTGGCCATTTGGATTTCTTATTTTTTTAAAAAAAATATCTGTTTGAGCCCTTTGTCCATTTCTTAACCAGATGGTTTGTTTTGTTGTTGTTTTGTTTCTTGATCTCTTTATATATTCTGGTTATTAATCCTTTATCAGTTGTATATTTGCAAATATTTTCTCCCATTCTGTTAGTTGTCCCTTCATTTTGCTGATTGTTTCTTTTGCAGTGCAGAAGCCTCTCTATTTGATGTAATCCCATTTGTCAATTTTGGCTTTGGTTGCCTGTGCCTCTGGGGTCTTTTCCAAGAACTCTTTGTCTACGCAGATGTCTTGTAGGGTTTCCCAATGTTCTCTAATGATTTGATGGTGGGGGGTCATAGGGTTAGGTCTTTAGTCCATTTTGAGTGGATTTTGGTTAAAGGTTTCTGGTAAAGGTCTTGCTTCATGCTTCTTCATGTGGAGATACAGTTTTCCCAGCACCATTAGTACTGTCCTTGCTCCAGGGATTGATTTTAGCTCCTTTGTCAAAGAGAAGTTGGTTGTAGATGTTTGGATTGGCTTTGGTGATTCTATTCTGTTCTATTGATCTATCCATCTATTTTTGTACCAGTACCAGGCTGTTTTGATTATAACTACCTTGTAATATATCTTGAAATCTGGTATTGTAATACCTATGGCTTTGTTTTTGTTATATGAGATTGCTTTAACTATTCAGAGTCTCCTGTGTTTCCACAAAAATTTCAACATAATTTTTTTCTAAATCTTAGAAGAATATCTTTGGTATTTTAATTGGTATCACATTGAATTGGTAGATTGCTTTCAGAAGAATGGACATGTTGATGATATTGATTCTTCCAATCCATGAACATGGAAGATTTTTCCATTTTTTTGTATCTTCTTCTATTTCTTTCTTTAATGTTTTATAACTCTTATCATAGAGATCTTTGACACTGTTCATTAAATTTATTACAACGTAATTGATTTTTTTGGTATCTATTGTGAATGTGATTGATTTTAGAAGCACTTACTCAGCTGTGGCATTATCTGTGTATACAAAGACTATTGATATTTATGTGTTGATTTTATGTCCAGCTATATTTCCAAACTCTTCTAAAAGAGTTCCAATAGTTGCTTAGTGGAATCTTTTGGGTCCCCTATGTAAAGGATCATGTCATCTGCAAATAGAAATAGTTTGATGTCCTCCTTCCCAATTTGTGTCCCTTTGATTTCTTTTGTCTAATGGCTCTGACTAGAACTTCCAGGACTATATTAAAAAGCAGTAGTGAGAGTGGACATCCTTGTCTGGTTCTGGATCTCAGTGGGGTTGCTTCCAACTTTTCTCCATTCAATAGGGTGCTGGTTGTGGGTTTGTCATAAAATGCTTTGATTGTGTTGAGAAATGTTTCTTCAATTCCCAATTTGCTTAAAATTTTCATCATGAAGAGTGTTATATTTTGTCAAATGCTTTCTCTGTGTCTATTGAGATAATCATGGTTTTTTTCTTCATTTTGATAATGTGATGTGTCACACTGATTGATTTATGAATGTTGAACCATTCCTGCAATCCAGGGATAAATCCCACTTGGTCTGGGTGAATAATATTTCTGATATGTTGTTGGATTTGACTGGCTAGTATTTTGTTGAGGATTTTTGTGTCTATGTTCATCAGAGAGATTGATCTGTAGTTCTCTTTC